GGGGGGGGAGAGGATGCAGGTTGGAAGAGGCTAAGGTGGTCCAGGGGTGGTGGAGGGGACGGGGGAAGGCAAGAAGGATGGAGGATGGAGAAGGGGATGTGGATCGGAAGAGGCTAAGATCGTCCAGCGGGTGGAGGAGAGGTGTGAGGTCATCGAGGATGTGGATGATATGGAAGAAGTGGTGGAGGAGGTGAGTGGCAAAGGATGGTGAGGGGGTGGAGGGAGGGCGGGGATGCAGGTTGGAAGAGGCTAAGGTGGTCCATGGGTGGTGGAGGGGACGGATGAGGGTGTCAAGGATCTGGATGATATGGAAGAGGTGGACAAGGGGAGCGCCGAACAATTGTGAGGTTTTTGGGGGGGAGAGGGTGCGGGCTGGAAGAGGCGAAGCTGGTCCAGGGGGTGGTGGAGGGGAGGGTGATGGGGTAAAGTATGTGGATGCTATGGAAGAGTTGGTGGACGAAAGGAGGGGCAAACAATGGTAAGGTTTTCGGGGGGGGGAGAGGATGTGGGCTGGAAGAGTCTAAGCTGGTCCAGATGATGCTGGAAGGGAGGGTGATGGAGGAGGAGATTGAGGGCTGGATGAGACCAAGAAGGTGGGGAATGCGAGGGTGGTGGAGGGGAGGGTGATGGGGTAAAGTATGTGGATACCATGGAAGAGGTGGTGGACGAACGGAGGGACAAACAATGGTAAGGTTTTGGGGGGGGGGAGAGGATGTGGGCTGGAAGAGTCTAAGATGGTCCAGATGATGCTGGAAGGGAGGGTGATGGAGGAGAACATCGAGGGCTGGATGAGACCGAGAAGGTGGGGAATGCCAAGGTGGTCCAAAGGTGGAGAAGGTAGGGAAGTGGAGGGGATGCGGTTGGAAGAGGCTAGCTAAGGTGGTTCATGGGTGGTGGAGGGGACGGGTGAGGGGGTCAAGGATGTGGATGATGGATTCAGTGAAAACTATTTGTCAAGATTTCTAAGAAGTTCAGTCGACCGCGGTAGCCATGGAGAGCGCTCAAGCAACCTGGATGAGGACGGGGGGGAGAGGCGGAGGAGTGGTTAGGGGAGGGACCAAGGATGGTGGGGCAGAGGGGTTGCGGGTTGGAAGAGGCTAAGTTGGTGAAGGGGACGGTGGAATGGAGGGGTGAGCGAGTCAAGGATGTGGATGATATGGAAGAGGTGGTCGAGGGGGAGGCTGGGGAGGTGGGGAGTGTAAGGTGGTCCATGAGATGGAGAAGATAGAAGAGTGCAGAGAAGGGAGGGTTAGAAATGTGGAGAACAAGGGAAAATGGAGGGGAAGGGGTGAAGGAAAGAGGGGATCAACCAGGTGTGTGGAAGGAGGGAAAACTATTTGTCAGCATCCCCAGAAAAAATCAGTCAAACACAGTAGCCATGAAGAGCACTTTTTGAACCAGGATACAAAACGCAGACACATTTGGCACGTTTCATCATTGCAGATCTGCATCGCGTAAGTCTTTTTGCATTTCGCCCCAGTATTCCATCTGAGCCCACCCTCCTTTTCAGAGAAGGCGGCTTGCCTCAGCCCCAGCTACGTGACTTATCCAGGTGTTTCCAGCCTGGCTCATTCCAGCCATTACCTGTGGAAAGGGAGCACTATCTGGCACAGTCAACACATAAGACTGAAGGAGTGTGAGACTGTGACTCTGTGAGTGCTATCTTCTGGGAACACAGAAGTGCAGTTTTGCTGTGGCTGGAAAGAGGGCATGATCCTTGGTGAAGAGAGGGACATAAATCAGGTAGATTTGAGTTGTAATCATGCGATAGAGCAAGGCATGGGAAGGGTTCGTAAATTGTATACTATAATGTGCAAGAGAGATGGGCTTTGCATCAATATTATTCTGGAAGATGTTAAGGCGAGAAAACACTAGATTATCGGTGGAATAATGGAATTTGATACAAATTGTGGTCCAGGAGAGAAACATGCATGGGGGGAACACCCTGTTAAACCACCATTACCTCCGAGCCGGCCTTTTGCCGAGGCAGAAAAGAGCTGTGCCCCAACCTTTGCTGAAGTGCCAGTGCGAACTTCTTCTTTTTTGTTTTCCGGCTGGCAGTCAGCCATTTTCATCCAGTAGCACTGTTCACCCGAAGAATGCGTTTTGTGGCAAATTGGTGTTTCGAGATTGCCTGTGAAAGGTACTGGTGGTTCAAAGAACTTCCTCCTAGACAGGTAGGCACAATCCGACGAGGAGTGACCACACAGGGTCCTAAGAGAATGATGGTGGGTATGCCCCGGGTACAAGGCGCCGTTTGTTATAAGGTGTGCTTCCAGTCTAGTTCTTTATTGTGGGTGAAAAATGAAAGGGGAAAGAATTTGAACGAACGGAGGTCTGTACCTTGCTCTCACAACATATTGTATTCCATGGTTCTGCCTCAGCTTTTGTGTCCCTCTGTTCTGGCCTGCTGTTATATGTCAGTGTTCTACCATGACGGCTGTCTCCATTTCATCTCACTGTTTGGCTAGGGATCCTTTGCACGTGTGTTGCTGCCTTGTTTTCTCAGTCGTTAGGCACTTGATACCAATTATGGCTCACTGTGGGATAAGGTGGATAGGGCCGAGTCCAAGATGTATGTCTTGTCGCTACTCGAGTCGTAACTGAATTCTCTACAGTTTAGGTTCCTGGTATAGGTATTGGTTGGTTGTCGACTTCCTCATTGATGATACGTTTAGCGTTTTTGTCATTATCTGAACAGATGTGTATATTGGGCCTAACCAGATGGTAGGGTTGGAGTGTGCAACAGTGTTCATTGGCCTGTCATTTGAGAGGTAACTTGGGAACTGGGGCTTTTTGGGGGGGGCGCTTTCAGCTTCAGATTTTATTTGGTTACACCAACTGCCTAGCAGTAGGCATCACAATGTGATTTAATTAATTAATTAAATGGCGAAGGGACCGAAGGGCTTTATTATTCCTAAGCCTTCCACCTAAGTTGTGCAGGGCAATCCCTAACCCATCCCAGAGAACAGTAAAGGTCCTTCGGGCCGTTCCGTCCTCGTGCAGGATAGTCTTGCATCTTCACAGAGACAGTGCCCAGATCGTCACGCCTTTCCTGGAGGTAGGAACTGTTCCTCATCCAGTTTCCATTTAGGTAGGGGATGGCCTTTCTTGGGAATGTGATCTTGGTCTTACACTGGAGGATGCCTGTCTGGTAGGGCGAGGGTGTTGAGGCAAGGCAGGGAGGGGGGACGGGAAGGGAGACGGGGGAGGGGAAAGAGGGACGGGCAAGGGGGCAGGGGAAAGAGGAACGGGCAAGGGGCAGGGGAAAGAGGAACGGGCAAGGGGAAAGAGGTACGGATAAGGGGTAGGGGAAAGAGGGGTGGGCAAGGGGGAGGGGAAGGGAAAGCTAGTGGGTCTGTGGGTCGCAGAATGGTTTGCAAAAGCAATGCGCAGTTGTCTGTATGCTTGTAGTTTTGGAAGGATGGCTGGAGGAATACAGAGATAGGGTGTTAGATTGTTAGATGTATCTGATTTCAGATTACTGTTCATCATTACCGAATGAAAGGTTGTTCCATTGCATAATGCATCTGAGTCTGCGAATCTGTTCTAGTGGGTTTGTGGGTTGCAAAGGTTATGTGCAGTTGACTGTATGCTTGTAGATTTGGCAGGATGGTTGGAGGAATACAGAGATAGGGTGTTAGATTGTTACATGGATATGATTTCAGATTAGTGTTCATCAGTACGGAATGAAACGTTGTTCCATGGCATAATGCATCCGGGTCTGTGAATCTGTGCATGTGTTGTGTGGGCGGCGCCTTTTTCTTTCTTCAGAATACAAGTGCTCTAAGTATGGGATCCTGCGAAATAGTCCTGGGACATTGGAGTTGACTGCCACATTTCTGATATTCACGAAAGATGATAATCAAAAGGTAAGACAGCCCAAAAGGAATGTTGTTTGTCAATGCTGGGTGGGTACTCAAGGTGGGTTCGCTGGGGCTGGGTTGGGGTTGTGGACAGCATTGATGAGGAAAACATGATACAATGAACATCGGCGGTGATGATGGTGATGGTGATGGTGATGGTGGTGGTTACGGTGGTGGTGTGGTGGTGGTGTCGGCGCAGACACTCTATCCATTCTTTCTGATGTGGGTGCCCGTATGTGGGATGCTTATGGTGCGTATGCTTCACAATTGGAGGGAAGTTTGCGTAAGAGATTGGGAGGTGGTCATGTGAGTTTCCAGGATCTGAGGGAGCGCCTTTCTCTGCGCGCTCCACTGGATTCACCAGACTATTCTCTGCCGCCAGATCCTGAGCAGGTTGGTCTCTTCTGACTAGCTGCTGGCTGTCAAATAACCCTTGTATTATGTGTCCATGAAGTTGATGATATAATTTTTTTTTCCCTTTCGTGCGCTTCTGCTTTTTTTTTGTTTTTCTGCATTCTTTCTTTTTTGATGAGTTTTGTTGGATCAGATGGCATGTTAAGTGCCGTGCTTCGAGCCATGCGAGTTCCCATCCAAAAATCGGAGCATGAATGGTCTTCTCACAGTACAAAAATTTGAGGGGACTTACATTCGTGAGACACATAAAGCAGGGTGGCTGCTGTGCTTTCTTCCACTTGTGTTTATTTAGGTGCGCGGCCCAGAATGGGGAATCCAGGCAAATGGGACTTTGCCCTCTTCAAAAATATGCCAGTTGAAGCGCGAGGATGCAGTTGTTTTCCCCCTCCTTTGGGGAAAAGACAACATTGTGCCTTGCATCCCTGAGCATCATTTTCACCACCTCCTTCATGTTCGCATCCCTGTTATGATGTTCAATCAACTTCTCCACAATGGTTGGTTGCTCTGTTGTTGGAAAAGCCTATCCCCTATGCAGTCACAATTCCTGCATGGTTGTCCATGCTCACGTCCCTTGTTTTGCTGTTCAATCAACTTCATCGTGAGTGATTGTTGTTTGGTCTGCTGGAAGACTAGCGCTTCTGTCGGAGAGGCCAGCACTTCCATCGGAAAGCCTAGCCCTCCTTTCTTATTTCATATGCGGAACTTTTGAAGTTAGTCATTCCTAGTCTCTACTGAAGCCGGTCCTTTTCAGAGGTCAACGTGTGCCTGTTTTTTTCGGAGATCGGCGTTTTCCATGCCATTCCTTCACAGCTGAGCTGCTCTGACATTCACTTGGGCAGCAGCAACAATGCAGGAAGCTAGCAACAGCGTTCTGGCCTGTGTGCTGGCACATGCCATGCCTCAGACAGACTAAAGAAATTGGGAGTCTGAGCAGATAGGCAAGCTTTCATGTTTGCACATGACAAACAGCACAGATACCTTCATAAGCTTAAAAAAAAAAGAAAAAAAAAAAAGCCCTTCTATTCAGGGGGGTGGCAATCCAGTTGCTTATCACCGACAAACATGTTTCAGACAAGGCAGTGGGGAGAAAAGATAAGAAAGAGGAGAGTGTCAGCCTAACCCTTGCGGCGGCACTAGACGCGTGAACGGGGGGGGGGGCTGTTACGGAGCACCCCATCCCCAGCCTTAACCCCTCTTCAGGGGCTGTTCTACTCGCCGGGAGGCTTGCTGGCAGCACCCAGACATGCAGTAGGGCAGCCCCCAGGGGGGCATGGCGCAGGAGGGGGGGCTTTCCTGGCAGTCCCTCAGGCCGCATGCCAAGTCCTGCAGTACTTCTTTACATGCCTAAGTCGTCTCCATCTTGTATCTGCATCGCTGTTTTTTTTTCTCTCTGCCTTTTCAAGACAAATGATAGTCTTTTTTTTAACCACCAGTAAAACCACCAGTAGTTGTGCAGCAGCTCTCTGCCAAACCTGTCCACGGCCGCCAGCTTTGCCTGGAAGCTGGTTAACACAGCCATCGTGAAAGAAAATAAAGTTGCACTCAGAGAAAAGTGGGGGCTGCCCCCCCTAGGTCAAGTGACTAACGCTGCAAGGGTAGGAACGACCTTAAATGTTGAATTTCTCTCTTCTTCTCTGTCCTGTGGAAACATGCTTGCCGATGACAAGCAACGGGACTTGTGCCCTCCAGAATAGAAGGGGCCTTGTTGCTTTTTTTTGTTTTTTTTTTCAAAGGAAGAAGAAACGTGGGGGCTGTGGGAAAAAAAAAAAAAGAAAAAAAAGTGGGGGCTGTCAGGGTTTCAACAGCAACACCAAGCACCCCAGCGCCATTCTGGAAATGCAGGTATTTGCCAGAAAAGAAGAAAAAAGGAAATCGGGTACTCTCAAACCACCAGTACCTTCGAGCCTCTTTTCGAGTCTTTTTCCCCTGGCGGATGTCCACTGCACGCCGAAAAAAAAGAAAAAGCCGACCACCAGGGGCACGTTTGCATTTTTTTTGTGAATGGCAGCACCACTAGTTAGCAGTTATGGGTCCGTACATCTGGGCCTCAGGGACTTCTGTCGACGCACAGAATCAAACCAGCACCCTTGGCCAAGTCTCTTAACCACTGCAGCCAGGACACAGTGCTCAAAAGTGGAACCATACGGGTCGTGATATCCACCCTACCCCTTCATGTGTGAGGAATGTGCCCTCATGGCCCCCTAGCCAACATGCACATGATCTGGGCTGCAGCCCCCAGCAAGCCTTGTGCCCACGCTAAGTGAAGGCAGGCCTGAATATCCATAAGAGGCTCTTATCTCAGCATTTTTCAATGTGGGTATCAGACAGTTGCAGCACACCAGTTGGTTGAAGAGCAACTTGAGCCTCCCACTGGGATCCTTCCAGAAACAGCAGCTGCGTCAAGCAGTTGAGCCCAGGGCCGGGTGGTTGCGCCCTGGGCACATGCAGTGTGAGGGCGACACATCACGAAGTGGCCGCGGGAAAATCAGAAAGCAGCATTGTCGTCACATTGGGCCAGCGAGCCAATGAGAAGACGGCAAACACTTGGAGCCTGGAGGCTCCCTGGACGTGCCCAACCAGAAAGGGCACAGGCCCCCAACTGTCAGGCAGGGCCTTGACGCAGACACTGGGGCCCGACTGGAAGCTACTGGAAGCTTCCTCAGCCAGGCCCTCGCAGCCAAAGCGAGGCCGCGACTTCCATATAGGGAGGCGCATGAGTGGGTGGTCAAGGACTGATGAGGGGGGGAGTGAGAACAAACCTGGTGTATGTGGGAGGTCGGCATTGGTGTTGATGCCATGTACATTGGTCTTCAACGTCGGAGTGATCCTGTTGCAAGGCTTTTAGGCTGAGTAGAGTAGGCTGGGCGCTCGGTGCCAGACAGAGATGAGCGATATTGGATACTGTGTTGGTGGGGCCTGAGGGCGATAACGTTGGCACACGAGTTCACTGTGTTGCTCTTATTTGGATGGAATCTTGGTGCATTTGAGCTCTCTTCTTGGTACATGACTATCTGGACATCTGTGTGATTTTGCAACTTGGTTTTCTGTCTATCACTCTCGCTAATATTCCTTGCAATTTTTGTATCGGAGCTGGTTCGAGATCGCCATTTCTTGGCGCTGGTGGCATTGTTACTTGGTGCGGTGCGCTGACGATGTTTCTATGCAGTAAGGATACAGTGGCGCTGGCATGAACAACCACTCCCGGGTAGAGGGGAGTTGGCCGGAAGGCTGTGGTACAGTGTGGGAGCTGTGGCGACAGCGGATGTATGTGTGATGATGAGAGCATTCTGATGTGGCATTTTGGCTGAGGTGGCACTGCATTGCATTGTGGGTGGCACCGAGGCTACGACCGGTCATCGAAATGCACGTCGACGGCTCAATTGGTGAGAAATCTGTGGTTGGGGAATCTATCTTCAGGTACGTTGTTCCCTTACCTTATCTTCCGTCTCATCTTCTCTTACCGTGAGGAAGTAAGTCCAACTTGAGTGTCCTCTTTTGGTTAGGGGTCGTGTGCGCTCTACCTTGAGAGTCAACATTTTTCCTGGTGGCGCATCTGGTAGGAGAGGGCGGTGTCTCTGAAGGGCCCTGGTCAAAGCACGGGTCACGGTCACCACGCCAATCCATGGGAGTAGTACACGCAGGCCATGCTGCTTTGTCCTTCGAGCTCTTTGCTGGGCCAATAGGGGGAACATGGACTGACCAGTGCTAAGCAAGACGCTTACCAGACCGTCTATAAATATATCTGGCAGGGATCTGTTTTGAATGCTGGCTGTGATCATCGTCCAATCTGCGATGTTAAATTATTCCTGAGGACCTTGGGGACTGTCCTTAAATTGCCTCTTGATCAGCCAGATCAGTCGGATGGAAGGCTCGTTGCACACGAGGATAAACAAAGGGCGGTGTTGGTCATAAGCGAGTTACTGGGCACAGGGGTGGGCCGTTAATGCACACCTTAGACACGGCTGCTTGATGATGCGGACAGGCACGTTGGATACAGGAGAAGGAAGGTTCCAATTGGTGCTCAACTACAACGACAATCATTTCCATTGCGCATACATATGTGCACACAATTTATTTTTATTTTGATTAGTTGGTGGACAGACTGCCTAGATTTGAACTGTAGTGTTCTACCATTGCCAGTTCTGTTCGATGCCGCTGTGAGTGAAACTGATCGAAGTAGGATTAGATCATGTGCTCAGTCCGTGTATGTGTTGTTGATACCGCTTGAACGGTAGCCTAGGTGACTTGCCGGATATTAATTTATTTTTATTTATTTTTTAACCCGGTCAGCCACATGCTGTGGTAGGCCCCGGTGAGGGCACTAGTGCAGACAGCGTCTGCCTAGCTGATGAGTGGACCAGACAGTGGATAGGATAGATCTGTAGGAAGGACGGTGACACCTCCACACATAAGAAAGGCCATTGAACTCCAGCAAGTTGATCCGCTTACGGTTAGAGAAGGAACTTAGAGAAGCCACCGAAAGAGATAGAAATTAGAAATAGGAAAGCCAATAGGAGGGCAGACAAAGCTGCTGTAGAAGGGTTAGATGACGACGTCCTTGATGACACAAGGAAAGTCCTGAAGGCGGCTCT